AAAAAAAAAAAGTTACAGAGACTACATACCTTTCTTGCTTCAAGGTTTTTGGTTTTGTTCATTGGATACTGGGGACTGAATACAGGGGATCTTTACCATTGAGCTACATGCCCAGCCACACATTAAGAGCAATGTATCCTAGCAAAGGAGGCTGATGTCAAAAGATCTCAAGTTTGAGGTCAGTCTGGTCAACTAAGAGAGAAGCTGTCTCAAAATAAGCTAAAAAAGGGTTTGTTTTGTAGCTCAGTGGTAAAGTGTCCTGGATTAAATCTTCAGTACTAACAAGGCGGCGGGGGGGGGGGGGGGGGGAGCGCGAGCATGCGCGCGATGTGTCACTTTTATCTTTGTAGCGGTAGCCTTTTAAAACTGAAAAAATTAGGGACTGTTTTACTTCATTATCAAGTGCAATTAGGTGGCAAACAATCATTTTAAACACACAATTATCTAAATTACCTTCCTGTTCATTGCTTTCATTGAGCCCGAAGACAGATTTTTTTTTTTTTTTTATACTGGAGAACCAAAGACCAACACACTGAGCTACATTCCCAGCCCTTTTTATTTTTTATTTTGAGACAGTCTTGCTAAACTCCTGAAGGTTTTGCTAAGTTGCTAAGAGTGGCTTTGCATTTGCAATCTTCCTGCCTCAGCCTCCCCATTTGTTGGGGAACCAGAATACAGATCTATGCAGGCTTTGTTTACATTGATCTAAGGCAGGTTATAAAATTTACTAGGGGATCTTGTTTAAATTACTCAAACATTTCCTTCAGTTAGATGTTTTTCATGGGGGTACCTGATTGTGCCAATATGGGTTAATGATGACTAACCAGGGGGTTGTTTTAAGGATTAAATAAGGTAAAATGCTTAGTAAACTATCAGTATTAGGTTTTCTTTTTTCTTTCTCTTGCATTGTAATCATTTTTACCTGTTAATATCCCTCACCAGATTGTTGGGTCCTGAGAAGTAGGTATTTATGCCTCATTCATCTCTGTACCCTCAGCAAGCATAAAGAATGTCTTTCAATTAATAAATATCTACTGAGTCAACAAAGACCTGAGAGAGAGAAGATTGTATTGCCTATTTGCTAGTCAAACTGCCACATATTCCTTGAGAGGAATGAAGTACAGCTTTTGTTAGGCTAGCATAAAATTCGGGGAGTAAAACCACCCTTGGTCAATTATTAGTTTGGGTGGAAAGCCTGCTTAACAGGGAGCAATGTACAAAGGAAGTAGGCTGATTCTACAGTAGCTTAATATATTTCTACTGAGGACAATTTTTGGAATGCTGGGCACACCCAAGTTTAAAGTATGCAGTTACATTCCAAAGGGAAATTTCAATTACTGTTTTTCTTTTCTTCTGCTCTAACGGTTATTACAGCATTATAATGAAGGGCAGACTATAAATATTGATAAGCAGGAAAATCAACAATTACAGACTACTTAGACTGCTTCACTCCTTTTGTGGATTGTATTACAAACTTTTCAGACACTCTTAAGGTTGCCTGACAAAATTAGGAAAAAGTTAAAATTCTTACAACCTGTTTGAGATTTTTGTTGTTGTTGTTGTTCCAAAGTGCAAGTTTTTTTTTTTTTTAAATTGGGATTTAGGATTCTAGTAATGAGTTCCCCCGTTTTTCTTTATTTAAATCATCAGTGGAAATATATACATCTCCTTAAATTGCCCAGGCTGGACTGGAATTAAGAGCCTACTGCCTTAGAAGCTGGAGTAGCAGGGATTACAGGCTTGCGCCACCTCACCCTCTCTGTATTCTTCTTGGCAGATTGTGTCTCATAATTAAAAAAATATAAAAACTTGTTTTCATAACAGCAATAGAAATCACAGGGAAAAACTTGATAAAACTCTTGGCTAGACTTTAAAGGAACTAATATTCTCACGGTGGGAGAGGGAGCAATTTACTTTTAAGGATTCTAGAACCTCGTGCATGTTTTTAATTTGTTCCAATGCAAGTTTATGTTTTTAAGAAAATCCGATAATTTAAAAGATTTGATGCCGTTTTTTTCTGTTTTTTTAAAAATGTTGGGGACCATGATGGAGAGAATTTACCTAGCTGTTCCTCAGGAAACGGAATGTTTACTGAGTAAACAAGCGGTAGTCACAGAAACACCTGCTACTCCCAGAGGCGACAAGAAGCCACCACCGCCACCTCCTGGTCACATCCGGGCACTTCTGTACAAATTCCTGACGTCCCGACGCCCAAGCCGTTGGGCTTATTTGAAACTCACGCACAACCAATCAATGGTCTCCTGCAGGGAGGCGGGCATTGAAGAGCGGCCAATCACCGCACCTTTGGAGGCTCCAGCCTATGAGAAGGAGGTTGACATCACGCGCCAATCGGCATGGCTCTTAGAGAGAACGGCTCGTTTTTTTGAATTGGAGGTAGCAGCCACCGGCAGGGAATGTCGGAGTCGGTGAGAGGAATCAGCGCTTGAAGAGGTGGATCTCACGGGACTTTTGTTTGAGTGGTGAGGACTCTGTGGTGTGGGTGAGGGAGGTGAGAGTAATCCACGTCACCCGGGGCCGTGGACTCCTTTGCCTGCGGTCAGCATCCCTGTCCCGGTGACCGCGAATTCCGGAGCACCCTGGTTCAGGCTTCCCGATTCTGGGAACTCCTCCACCCCCACCCACAGCCGGTGGTGAAGCAGAGTGCAGCCTGGTTCCCGAGATTGCTGGGCATCTTCACCACTCACCCAGTTGCATCTCTTCCGGAAGAATGTGGTGAAGGAAGGGAATTGGGAAAGGGATTTTGGCTAGCCGCGAACTCTGCAGCTCTGGGGCGGGCCGCTGCAGCTTTTGGGGGCTTATCTCAGAGAACTTAGTGGTTTCATTTGGGATTCTTGGCTTCGTCTTTGCAGGAAGTTTAATTTTTAGTTTCTACATGAAAATGTATGGTCAACATCCCCTCTTCCTAGCCACAGATGTATATGGTTTAGTGATTAAAAGCACAGCTTCTAGAATCAGCTTGGGCTTTGAATCGCAGTTTTACTTTCTTTATTCATAAAATGGGGATAATAATAATATCTGTCTCCTCGGATCGTCTCAATTTTTAAATAAGAACAAGCAAAAGGTTTAAGTTTAGTACAATGCTGCATATAAAGCTTTAAATTTTGTCAATCACAGTTTTATTAATAATACCACAATCATATCCAGTATTGTGTTTTGGCCCTTCACTCTGCAAGATGATTGCCAAAACCAATCAACCAACCAACCAAACAAACAAAAACCCAACAAACAAACAACAAAAAGCCCCCAACAAACAAACAAAAAAGAAATTTGAGTAAAAGGAAACCTAATGTGAGTATTTGTTTACAAGTGCCCATGGGTTATAGTATATTTAGTCAGAAACTCCTCCAGAGGCTGTTCATAGGTTATAGGAACACTGATTCTATTGTGCTTATTTATTTATTGTGGTACTGGGGATCAAACCCAAGGCCTTGTCCATGCTCATTAAGTGCTCTACCACTGAGGATTAATAATTATTTGTCACTTATTTTAAGAAATTATTTATTTACTTTTTATCACAACTGGATTACAGTTGTATTACCAACTCTGCTTGACCCAAATAGAAACTGATTCTTAACCTGCAGAGCTGGGACAGGAAGCTGAATTGCCTGACATTGAAGTATACAATCTCACAACTGTGCCAGGGTTCTTTTATTACTAAGCACATTTCCTACTACCTAGTGTTCCATCCAGACTTGATGCCACTGCTAACTTTACCATTTTCCCAAAACATACAGTTTAAACCATTTCTTTGCTAAGAATCTGGAGCAAGGTATTTGTATATTAATTTAAAGAAGTAGGGAAGAGTAATGGAGATCAGACATGTATCTCCAGATGAAGGTGGGACTTTCTCTTTTTTATTTGTTTAATATTTTAGAAATTTACTTCAAGAAAATCAACTTATGCAAAACCTCTAGTTTGAACTGATGAAAACCTGTCAGACTGTTTTCTTTATTCCTCATTTGCACAACTTTTTAACTCTTTTATCCTGGAAGGAAGAAGAAAAAAAGAAAAATGAAAGTTTTTTTTTTTTTTCCATAGTTCAGAGTTATATTAACACTAACCTATGCATTTGAATAAGTTTGAAAAGTAATATGAAAATACTGATAAGGAATCAGTCTAAATATACCTGAGAGGTTCTGAGAGATACATAAAGGGTGAGTCAAGTGGTGGTTGACAGTTAGAAGCCACTCTATGTGGAGAGTTAAGCACTATTAAATATAAATAGTTGTGAAGTACATTGTGATTTGGGTTTGAAAAGTGCTGAGAAATTTCATTTATAGGTGATGAGTCTGAATGGGTAGAAGGGAACTAAATGGAAAACTTGATGGTGAATTTGGACTTGGTCATATAGGGAGGAGTGCTTATGGAAGTTGTTGAACAAGAAAGTGATATACCCCTGAAGACCATGTGAGGAATGATTTCTGAAGAGATTGATAAAGTTATTTGGAGTTGTTGTATTATACCAAGTAACTATTGTGTCATTGTGCATAGAGAAGAGAGGTGAGATATACTTGAGGTGGGATTGACAGGAATTTGGGGAATAAAAATGAGGTAGAGGAAAGTAATGATGGATCCCACATTTTCTGCAAGGATTATTGATGGTGATGAGTGTTATGATGGTTTTATAAATAAACATAGAAAGTGAAATGATTGAGGGTAGAGGTATTGAGGGAGATACAATAATATTTATGACTACCTTTTGTGTGTTTCTTATGTCTGGTAATGTTCTGTGCTTTTGATACATTTTAAATATTTTACTGTATTCCTTTTAGTCAGGTATTAGTATCTTATTTTACAGAAGAGGAAACAAGCTCAGAAAGTAGAGTTACTTTTTGTAAGTATTAAGAAAAGTGGATAGTAATACTTTTTATAAATTCTAGGTGTGAAAGTAGAACCTCTGATGCTTGTTTTTGCCTAGTGATCGTATTTGTTTCATGTTTTTATTTAAATTTTGTTTTTTTCAGTCGATAGTACAAACAATGGCTGACCTTAGTATATTAACATCTACTACTGAGAGGACTAGCTTGGCAGACTCTTCCATTTTTGATTCTAAGGTTACTGAAAGTTCCAAGGAAAACTTATTTATTGAATCTACTTCCTGTATTGAAGGTAAATCTATTATCTGTTTTAAGACACTGAATAGCTATTTTAATGCTAACCTCATTAGCAATTTTCTTATGAAATAGCTGTAATAGCAACTGTTGTGCTAGAGCCCAGGTATTGAATCATGAATATGACAGAATCCCTTTACACTAGATTTTCTGCTTATCGTTTAGATTAATGCTTCCTAACTTTAAAAAGGAGGAGGCATCTTTATATTGATTCTGTTTTTGAACTATTGAAGGAGAAGGCTATGAAAGATAGTGAGTGCTTTCTTTGGTTAAGAAGAATGGGTATATGTTTGTATCCCCTGCTATGGTACATTTTTTCTCACTTTTTTTTTTTTTTTTTTTGCGGTACTGGGGATTGAATCCAGGGCCTCACATATGTGAGACAAATGCTCTTCTGTGTCATATCTCCAGCCCTCTTTATTTATTTTGGTACTGGGGATTGAACCCAGGGGTGCTTTACCACTGACCTTTATCCCCAGTTCTTTTATTTTATATTTTAAATTTTGAGACAAGGTCTCACTATGTTGTTAGGGTCTTCGAATTTATGATCTTCTTGTCTCAGGCTCCTGAGTTGCTGGGATTATAGTTGTGTACCTCTGCACCTGGCCATTCCTTTTCATTTTTAATTTTGAGAAAGAGTCTCTCACTAGGTTGCTCAGGCCTTGAACTTTTTTTTTCTTTTTTGGTACTGGGGATTGAACCCAGGGTTATTTCACCACAGAGCCCTTAAATTTAAAAAAAAAAAAAATATTTTTTAAATTTTGAGGGAGAGCCTTGATAAATTACTGAGGCTAGCCTTGAACTTGTGATCCTCCTGCCTCAGCCTTCTTAGTCACTGGGATTACAGGTGTGTACCACTGCACATAGCCCTGGCCTCAAACTTTTGATTTCCTGTCTCAGCCTCTTGAGTAGTTGGGATTGTAGACATGAGACATGTGCCCCTGGCCTGGTAATTTTTTCTTTTTCCAAAGAAACCATAAGGCCAAATATTCCTCTACTAAATTAGTAATTAAGTCATTTTAATTTTAGAGAATTTTATGGTCTCTTCAAAAGTAGAACACATATGAGATATAGCCAAAGAAGGATTAGGAATTGCTGATTGTAATGTTAATACCTGATTAAAATTTTAACAGAAGAAATGCCTCAGATTGAAACAAGAGTGGTAATGGTTCAAGAAGCTGGAAAACAAGAAGAAGTTATACAAGCATTAAAGGTATGGAACTTGGATTTATAGTAAATTTCTAAACAGCAGTTTTTCTTCCATCAGTGTATAAGTAGTTTATAGCTTCCTTAATCTTACACTTAAGTCTCTTTTCCACAGACTATTAAAATAATGGAAGTCCCAGTTTTAAAGATAAAAGAAAGTTGTCCTGGAAAGTCGGATGAAAAATTAATAAAAAGTGTTATTAATATGGTAGGTCAAACATCTCATTGCATGTGGCATGTTGCACTTCCCTCGATAAAATTATTCCACTTTTATGGTGATGGGAGTTTAGGCACAAGGTGTATTTTATATATCTGAAGCTAGACAAATAGAAATTATTTTATACTTATTCTGAAAATTTGGGTGTGTATGAAACCCCAAACTAGCATCTATTTTGAATAATGCTAGGTTTATAAAAACTTAAGTTTAAATATATAGGTATTTTTTCTGATACTGGGAATTGAACCCAGGGTCACTTAACCACTAAGCTACATCCCCAGTCCTTTTTATTTTGACACAGTGTCTTGCTAAGTTGTGATCTCAATGAGTTGCTGAGGCTGGCCTTGAACTTGTGATCCTCTTGTCTCAGCCCCCTGAATCTCATGGAATTATAGATGTCCAGCTTCAATTTAAATTTAAGTGACATAACGTACAAAAATCTGAAAATTAAACTCTACCTTTTTTCTCATTAATTTTATATTTAGCTGGGTGTGATGGTGCATACCTGTAATCCCATCTACTTGAGAGGCTGAGGTAGGAGGAATGCAAATTCAAAGCTGTCCTCAGCAAGTTAGGAAGACTGTGTCTTAAAATAAAAAAGAAAAAGGTCTGGGGATGTAGCTCAGTGGTAAAATCCCCCTAGAATCAATCCCTAGTTCCAAAAAAGAAAAAAAAAAAAAAGCCTAAATTCTTGTATTTCCAAGTTATATATCACATTAATTGATAATCACCAAGAAATTTACCTCTGCATTTGAAACATCTAAATTTCTAATTCAGCTGTATTTGCTAGGGCTACCAGAACAAAATACAACATCCTGAGTAGCTTAAACAAATTATTTTCTCACATTTCTGGAGGCTAGAAGTTCAAGGTCAAGATCAAGGTGTCACCTGATTTAGTATCCCTTGAAGCCTTTCTTGGCTTGTAGATGGCCTCATTTTTGCTGCATCTCACATAGTCTTTTTTTTCTGTATATGTGCATCTTCGGTGTTTATTTTGTGTGTCCAAATCTCTTCTAAAAGGATACCAGATTGGATTAGGGCCCACCCAAATGACCTAATTTAACCTTAATTTCCTCTTGGAAGTTCTTATTTCCAAATAACAGACACATTTGGAGAAGGTCTTTATTTATTCTGGTTAAGGCTTCAACATATAAAGATCTAAGACGTCAATATGAAAACATCATGGATATATGATTGAACCCATGATTCCATCCTTCCAAATTAAGATCAAATAATTTGTTGATCAATTTACAATTTTCTTTTAAGTGGTTCTGTTCTTTTTAACAGGAATTATATAAGTTCTTTTATACTTTAATTCTTATTCTGTAGAGATAGTATAAACAATAAGTCATGATTTGTAACTATCTTTTTATATTCCTATTTTTGCCATCCTGCAAAAGCCTACAAATCTCACATCTCTCTCTCTCTTTTTCCTGAAGATAGTTAATTTGTGCAGAAAAACTGTATTATGGAATCATTTTCTTGATCAGGATAAAAGAAATAGTGGAGAAGATCTTTTTGTCCTACTATCAACATGGCATGTACTTAAGCCGGGCGAGGTGGTGCACACCTGTAATCCCAGCAGCTCTGGAGGCTGAGGCAGGAGAATCATGAGTTCAAAGCCAGTCTTAGCGAATGAGAGGGGCACTAAGCAACTCAGTGAGACCCTGTCTCTAAATAAAACACAAAATAAGGCTGGGGATGGCTTAGTGGCTGAGTGCTCCTGAGTTCAATCCCTAATACCAAAAAAATAAAAGTGCGTCTACTTAAAACAAATCTCATCAATCTAATTTTTGGAACTTAATGTGCATTCTGTATGATTTATAATGACTGCTAAGTAATTAGAAGTTTATGCCTTTATAATAATGGATTTTAAAAATCAATTACTATAAATTAAGATCTTTTTTTTTTTTTTAAAGAGAGAGAGAGAGAGAGAGAGAGAGAGAATTTTTTAATATTTATTTTTTAGTTCTTGGCGGACAAAACATCTTTGTATGGTGCTGAGGATCGAACCCGGGCCGCACGCATGCCAGGCGAGCGCACTACCGCTTGAGCCACATCTCCAGCCCCTAAATTAAGATCTTAATGCAGATGGATATATACATATATATATACACACACACACACACACACAAATGTACATAAGTAAAATGTGTTTTTTTTTACTATGTGTAATGTTGATTATTATATGATATTAAATGAGTTTTCTAAAAATCTAAAAAATAAAGATGTTAAAAATATTGATAGGGAATTGATTTTTAGGTCTTATAGGATCATGAATTAATTAATAAGGTATATAAATAATTTTTATTTCTAATAATCATGTGAAAATCAGGAAATTAAAGTACCGTATATAAAGATGGACTCATTGGAAGAATTTGAAAGTTTGGATTCCCCAGAATTCGAGAATGTATTCGTACTCATGGACTTCCAGAATTCTGTCTTTAATGATTTATACAAGGCTGATTGTAGAATTATTGGACCACCAGTTGTATTAAACTCTGCACAAAAAGGAGAGGTAAGAAACAATATGTTTGTTATGACTTTTCAAAGTTAATTTTTTAAAAATTTCTTACATACATGACAGTAGTGGAATGTTATTAATGAATTCTTTGGAAATTCATATAGAGAATTCCTGTTAATTATTAAGAGTATACAATATTAATAGTGACCAATCTAATGTATTTCTTTCTTATTATACATTTTAGTAGTGAGCATCAAAGATCTTTGAGAGTTAAACAGTGTCAATTGTATATATAAACATACAATCTTACTTCCTACAATGTCTAGGAAGAAATAATTTGCTTAAAGTTGGGTTACAGAAATGTATACATGTACATAAACTTTTATTTTCCTCCATACAGAACAGATATCACATTTTAATTTTTATCAGTTACTGCATGATTTAAAATTAGGGAAATTATTTTAGCTTTTTGCTTAAGAGGTATAGTATATTTTGTCCCTAATTGGTTTTGTTGTTTTTGACTTTCTTTTATTTTGGTGGTACTGGGGACTAACCCCAGGGGTGCTCTACCACGAAGCTACATCCCCAGTCCTTTTAGTTTTTGTTTTGAGACAGTGTCTCTCTAAGTTGCTGAGGCTGTCCTCAAATTTGTGACCTCATGTCAGCCTCCCAAGACTTTGGAATAGGGTGTTCCATAGCGCCTAGCCACTTTTGCCTTTCTTAAACTTGCATTATCACTGAAAATTGCTTTGGTCATTTTGCTTCTATTGTTATAGATGCTAGTAATGAGCACCTGGTCACCTTGAATTCTTGAATAATGGTGGGACTCAAGTATAGTGTTTTTTAATCATTCTATGCCTTTCCGGTATATATGTATATAACCATTGAATAAAATATTTACTAAATATCTCCATTTTTAACTTAAAAATTGAAATCATATTTGATTTAAGTATGTGCTACATTTATACACTGTTTATTATACAATGCCTTTGACCTGTTTTTGTAACATTTATTGGAAGCACTTACAATAGTGTATGAATGAGTAGTACATGTATTTCATATATGTCAGAGTACACTTTGGTTAACAATTTTAATTATAAATATTTTCTTTGTTTAATTTGCTAATTGTAAAGTGTATTCAGATATTACATATATACATGCATACATATATATGTCTATATATCAAATGTGATTTGAGAATTATGGGAAAATTTTTTATTGTGGAACTTACAGTCTGGATGTTTGCCCTTTTTTTGTGGCATAATGAAAAATACCAGTAAATCTTTGGGCTAGAAAGTTGATTGACAGGAGGGGAAATACCTCTAGCTTGAGAAAGATGTCTTCTACTTTCTACTAAAAAGAAAGCTCACAGATTTAAAACTATTGTATCCTTCAGCCTTTGCCATTTTCCTGTCGCCCACTGTATTGCACAAGTATGATGAATCTAGTGTTATGTTTTACTGGATTCAGGAAGAAAGAGGAACTAGTAAGTATTATAAAACAAATTCTATTCAAAGAAATGTTTTTCCCATCCAAATCAACTTGGCTTTTTTCTTCTTTTTGGTATCATGATTTGATTTTAAAAATATTGACGGAGAAAATATGTGACTAAATTGGACTTTAAATTTTGTGATGATACAAATTCTTAAATAGCCTTGCAAAGAAATGAATATTTTATCTAGAATGACTGGCATGTGAACTAACAAAAAATTTTCATAATGACCTGATCTGTTTAATTATCTTGTTAAGTATCATATCAGCTACAATGTTTACATGAAGTTTTTGTTTATACATTTAGTTTTTCATTATGTAAGTATTCTTACTGCCCTACAGAAGTCATAGAAACTTTTTTCTTTGGTTCTCAAAATTTCGAATGTTGGAGCTAATGAGTAATTCTGTAATTTTGTGGGAAGAATCTTGGTGTGATATAATCTGGGTGATTTAGGAAAAAATAACAATATATATTTGAAAGCTTCTCATTTTTGCATGGTCTATATTATGTCTGTATGATTTTGCCTGTGTAGTAGGCAAACTAATTTTTTAATCCTTTTTTGACATATCTTTATTAAAATCTTGTATTACCTCATAAGTAGAAGGTAGTAAATGCTAGGTGAATTTTAAATAGTTTAAAAATTTGTTCAAATTAATTATAGTATACTTAATTTTTTTTTTGAGGTCAGATTGGTGACATTGGTTCATCATATGGGTGGAGTTATTCGAAAAGACTTTAATTCAAAAGTCACACATTTGGTGGCAAATTGTACAGAAGGAGAAAAATTCAGGGTATGTATGCTTGGTATTTTTGTGTATTTTAATAGAGAATTATTGTGGGATGGGTTTAAAAATAGCACTTTTCCCCTATTTATTCCTTGCATAATTTATTGAGGATTAGAAATTCAGTTTTTACTGTGAGTATACTTAATAAAAGTTATAAATCATAGATTTTGGTTCCATATATTTTAAGAAGGCAATGAAATTGGAGTTAGGTTTTGAAAAATGAGTAGGATTGCAAAGTTAGGTAGATGGATAATGTTGTAGGCAGATGAATAGTATCAGCAAAGGTTCCTGTGATCATTGATGATGAGGGGTCAAGAACTGTGAGAGCAGATAATTTACTCTTTATTTTTATTTTATAAGAACAGAGCTCTGCTCTTTTATAAAAGGGTTCTATGATTTTTCTTTAGTCTTCTCTTGGTCAATATTTCCATTGTAGTGAACATAAAGAACAGAGAAGATAAATAGAAATTTATTTTGCATAAAGTGGCACAGGCCTATAATTCCAGCAACTTGGGAGGCTGAGGCAGGAGGATCACAAGTTGGAGGCCATCTTTAGCAACTTAGTGAGACCTACAGCAAGTGACAGAGTGCACTGGATGCAGTCCCCAGTATCTAAGTAAATCAAATAAGGAATGAGTGTGAACACTGTGGAACTTGTTTTAAAGTTTTTAACTTAAGTTGTATGATTGAGTGATAGTTTTTTTGTTCATTTTTCTTTATAGTTTGCTTCAGAGTAGATGATGCTAATCTAAAATTATGCTAAAATATATATAATTTTTTAAATGTAATTTAGACAAAAATTCATTGTAATTAATGTTAATATTTTTAGGTTGCTGTTAGTTTGGGTACTCCAATTATGAAGCCAGATTGGATTTACAAAGCATGGGAAAGGCGGAATGAGCAGTAAGTGTTTAGAAATTCTGTAGTTCATTTTGTGAATTCACCATATGTTTTTAAAGATAAATCTATGTGCCAAAAAAAACCCCCTAAATTCATAGATAGTATAGAAAAGATGAATTCTGTCTTTTGGTAACATAGCAGAAAAACTCGAGGTTATAAAAAAATTACAAATTGAAAGATATCTGTAGTATCTTTGGGTTTTACTTTGTGAAATAATTTTAATTATAAACATTCTAAAATTACTAGATAATAGCTCAATGCATCTCTGTATTTTGATTGTTATATTTTATGCTTGTATGGTTACATTTTAATTGATGCTTATGATTCATTGCTTTGTTGTGCTAAGGTTTCTAATCTTATAATTTCATTGCTGTAGCAATTTATCACTAATTTCATGAAATTAGAGAACTCAAAAGTTCAAATACAGTCAGGTATGATGGTGCATGCCTGTAATTCAACAATTTGGGAGGCTGAGGCAGGAATATCACAAGTTTGTGTTAAGCCTCTGCAATTTAGCATGACACTGTCTCAAAAATAAAAAGAGTTAGGGTTGTAGCTCAGTGGTAAAATGCACCTGGGTTCCGTTCCTAGTACTGGTGGCGGGGGAAACTCACAAAAAACACTGTATTTACACAGTAAGGATTTGATTGTTCTTGTGAAAGCTACATATGGTGACATTTTGTCAGAATTTACTTCCAGAGTGACTCCAGGACACACGATCTGCCTGCCCTTCCCGGTGCTGTAGATTGAACCAGGGTCTCTTGCATGCTAAGCACACACACTACCACTGAGCTGCATCCTTAGCACCCACTTTTAAATTTATTTATTTATTATTATTTTTTAAAAAGTATATTCTTTTTTTTATATGTATATTTTATTTTTTATTTATTTTTATGTGGTGCTAAGGATTGAACCCTTAGGCGAGTGCTCTACCGCTGAGCCATAACCCCAGGCCCCAAATTTTTTGAAACTGAAGTTTTGTGAACATTTCAAGATAAGTTATAAAATGTTTAGATATTACAATTTTGTTTGTTTGTTTGAATAGTATTGGGATTGTACCTAGGGGTGCTTTATCACTTTCTCTCTCTCTCTTTTTTTTTTTTTTTTTTTTTGTGGTGCTGGGGATTGAACCCAGGGCCTTGTGCATGCAAGGCAAGCACTCTACCAACTGAGCTATATCCCTAGCCCTCTATTTTCCTTTTGATACACCGTTTACTATGTTATACAGGCTGTCCTCCAGCTTGCTGATGCTGGCCTCGAACTTGTGATCTTCCTGCTTCAACTTCCCAAGTCTCTGGGATTACAGGCATGCACCATCAAGCCTGGCTAAGATATAAAATATTTTCAGTAAATACATTATGCTAAGATCTTGAGAATTACTGCGGATTTGTAGATTGATTCGTCTAACTAATGGAACTGAAGGTAAACTGATTTTAAAAGAGTATATTTTGTTTTTTAGAGATTTCTGTGCAGCAGTTGATGACTTTAGAAATGAATTTAAAGTTCCTCCATTTCAAGATTGCATTTTGAGTTTCCTGGGATTCTCAGATGAAGAGAAAACCAATATGGAAGAAATGACAGAAATGCAAGGTAAAATTTAGCATAATTTAAAAATGATGTGTATTTTATTCTCTAGGCCTGCTTAATTACTTCCTTTTAAAGATTTAATCACTTTCTTTTAAAGATTTAGGGTCGCAGGTAAGTAGTTTGGCTTATTTATGCTTTTATGCATTCCTTTTTAGGAGGTAGCTATTTAGCGGTTGGAGATGAAAGATGCACTCACCTAATAGTTGAAGAGAATACAGTAAAAGAACTTCCATTTGAACCTTCAAAGAAACTTTACGTTGTCAAGCAAGAGGCAAGTAATTCTGGAATGAATTTTTTCTTTCTTTCTTTTTTTAAACAACAGTAATAGCTTCTTTGTTAAGGTTTATAAATTAAAATATTTTTTCTGTCATCTAGTGGTTCTGGGGAAGCATTCAAATGGATGCTCGTGCTGGAGAAACTATGTATTTGTATGAAAAGGTATGTTTTTTTTTTTCCCTTTGGTACTTGTTCTGTGGACTTGATTGTATAAAAATAATACTTTTCTATGCAGAAGGTTTAGAGAGCATGATATAATTAGCACGTATATCATATCTTATGATGTGTATGAATTTCAAAATAAACAATTGTGTATCAAGCAGTATTCTTAGCCTATATAGATTTAAGTGAAAGTATTCAATGTAATGCGTATTATTTTAATCGAATATATGTCATTCTGTGTTACCATTATGAATAGTAACATTCCTGTGTTTAGAAACTTAGAACCTTAATGAAAAGATATATTTGTACACAATTACAGCCTAGAATGATGTGTGCTACAATTGCATAATGTATTCTAGGGAGCCTTACTCTGAGACTCAGGATTGAAAAGGGCAAATATATGTAGAGGCTAACAGATAAGGACATTCAAGTGCATGTGGGAGGTAGAGAGTCTGAAATCTTGAGAGTATATTAAAATAGCAAGTAGTTTAAAAAAAGAATATGGGAAAGAAGGCCAACAGATAAAACTTAATAGCCAGAGTCAAGAAGTTTTGAATATGTTAAGGAGTTGATTTTATTCATAAGGGCTAGGAGTCACTAAAAATTATTAAGGGAAGCGATGTCAGTTAAAAAGATGACTTTAATAGTAGTATGTAGACAAGGAAAACCCACCCTTTGTATTGGATCTTGATGAACATTAATATCATTCACCAAAACAATAGCAGACTTCAAGAGAAGATTTTCTTCAGTTTAGAATTTAATAATTTTGAGCAAAATATTGAAGATGAGATATGGATTTTTATTTCTCTATAAAATCTAAATTGATACCATATTTTGCTCTTTAGACTCTCTTGTTCTCACTGTTAAGTTTATAACATAAAGTTTAAAAAGTATGCTTTAGATTTAAATAGAGAGCTCTTAAAATCAAGTGTTATTCAGCAAATATTGAAAAGTACTATGTCTAGGCACAGTGCTTAATGTTTGGGTTACAATGGACAGAATATGAATGGTCTCTGCCCCTGTGGAGTTTATGGCCTAATGGAGGAGTAGATGGTAAACAGGCTAACAGATGAGTGTATAATGGTTATAGTGCTATGAAGAAAAAAAATGAGGTTCCAGGGTTAGACAATTACTATGCTTTCTTGACCATTATGTTTTATGTAGCTTCTAAATTGTCTAGTAGAGTGTAGGATTACAAAATTGTGTAAAATCCAGATTTTGTCACTCATAAATACATTCTTCTCTTGTTCCTGTCTCAGTAAAAGAACCATGGAAGTGAAATGGAACTTTTGTGCTTTTGATTTCAGGCCAATACTCCTGAACTCAAGAAATCAGTGTCACTGCTTTCTCTAAGTACCCCAAACAGTAATCGCAAAAGACGTCGTTTAAAAGAGACACTTGCTCAGCTTTCAAGAGAGACAGACATGTCACCTTTTCCTCCCCGAAAGCGTCCGTCAGCTGAACATTCCCTTTCTATAGGGTCACTCCTAGATATCTCCAACACACCAGAGTCTAGCATTAATTATGGAGGTAATTCACATTTTATCTATCATCTATCTATCTATCTATCTATCTATCTATTTTGGGTATTGGGGGTTGAACTCTGGGGCACTCAACCACTGAGCCACATCCATAGCCCCATTTTGTATTTTATTTAGACACAGGGTCTCTTGAGTGGCTTAGTGCCTTACTTTTTGCTGAGGCTGGCTTTGAACTAGAGATCCTCCTGCTTTAGCTTCCCGAGATGCTAGGATTACAGGCATGCACCACCATGCTCAGCAGTAATTCACATTTTAAAAAAATGATCTTTAAAATTTAGGGAAGTGAAATAATTGTTAAGACTATAAATTCTGATGGCAGTGAATACAAAAGACTTTGTCTTTAACTACCTTTGTTATAGTTGAGAAAAGACAAATGAAAAGGTAAGAATGATAGTTCTTCCAGTGGATAAGTGCGTATTGCATGCCAAGTGCCTTATGCATTTTCTGTATTTATAATAGGTTTTTATTATTCCTATTTTACAGATGATTAAACTGAGGTACAGAGAAATTAAGTAATTTGCCATGACTAATGAGTAACAGAGTTATTTAAAAAGCAAATTCTTTTATTTAAAAAATTTTTTTTTTATTGGTGCATTATATAGAATAGTGGGATTCGTTGTTACATATTTGTACGTTCACATAACATAATTTTGGTCAATTCCCTTTTACCTCCTCTGCTCCCTCCTTTCATCCTCCTTTTCTGCTCTACTGGTCTCCCTCCTATTTTCGTGAGATTCTCCCTGCTTTTTTTCCTTTTTTCTCTCTACCTTCCCCATGTGAGAGAAAAACATACAATCCTGATTTTCTGAGTTTGGTTTATTTCACGTAATATAATGCTCTCAAGTTACATTCATTTTCTTGTGACATAATTTTGTTCTTCTTAATTTATGAATAAAACTCCATTGTATTTATATACCAGATTTTCTTTATCCATTTATGTGCTGACAGATACCTAGGCTGGTTCCATAACTTGGCTATTGTGAATAGTGATGCTGTAAACATGGGTATGCTTGTATTGCTATACTATGTTTTTTAATTTTTTTGGAATAATGCCAAAGAATGGTATAGCTGAGTCATAAGGTAGTTCCATTTCTAGTCTTTTGAGGAATTTCTATATTGATTTTCATAGTGATTGTATTATTTACCCACCAATAGTATATACAAGTGTCCTTTTCCCCTACATTCTCCACAATATTTATTATTATTTTTTATTTTTGCTAACTGCCATTCAAATAGGAGTGAGATGAAATCTCAGTGTAGTTTTGATTTGTATTTCCCTGATTGTTAGAGATGTTTTGTATTTCCCTGATATTAAATGATGTTTCATATTGGCCATTTGCATTTCTTCTTTTCAAAAATATCTGTTTAGAGCTGGACATTGTAATCCCAGAAATTTGGGAGGCCGAGGCAGAAGGATTGCAAATTCAAGGCCATCCTTGGCAATTTAGTGAGACCCTGTCTCAAAAAATAAAAAAGACTGGGAGTTTAGCTCAGTGGCAGTACCCTTGAGTTCAATCCCAATTTAAAAAAAAAAAATCAGGCTTGGGCTGTGGCTCAGTGGTAGCATACTTTCCTGGCATGTTTGAAGCACTGGGTTCAATTCTCAGCAACACATATAAATAAATAAAATAAAGATCTATCAACAACTAAAAAATATTTTTAAAAAGTATTAGTTTAGTTCATTTGCTCATTTATTGAGTTTTTCTGGTGTTAAGACTTGAGTTTATACACTCTGGGTATTAATCCTGTCAAAAGAGTAGCTGGTAAATATTTTCTCACATTGTATAGGCTCTCTCCATGCTATTGTTTCCTTTGCTGAGCAGAAGCTTTTTTATTTGATGCCATGCCATTTATTAAGTCTTGGTATTATTTTCTGAGCTCTCTAGGTCCTATTGAGGAAGCTGTTGCCTGCACCTGTGTGTTGAAGTGTTGATTGTATGTTTTCTTCTAGCAGTTGCAAAGTTTCTGGTCTATTCTTAGGGCTTTGACCCATTTTGAGTTGACTTGTATGAGATGAGAGAGAGGGATCTAATTTCATTCTTCTGCATATGGATTTCCAGTTTTTTCAGTGTCATTTATTAAAAAGTTTGTCTTTTTTCCAATGTATGTTTTTGGAGTCTTTGTCGAGGATCAGAATACTCTGTAGGTCTATCTCTGTCTTCTTCTGTTCCAAGTGGGAAATTTCTTTGAAATCTATTATCTTTGAAAAACTTTCAGAGCTCTATTGCACACATGTTTTTATGCCAGTACCAATGCAGTATTAGTTACTACAGTTCTGTAGTATAATTACTTCCTTTGTTTAGAATTGCTTTGACTATTCAGGCCTTTTATTCTTCCCCAAAAGCAAATTCTTTTTTTTTTTTTTTTTGATACTGAGGATTGAACTCAGAGGCACTCGACCACTGAGCCACATCCCCAGCCCTACTTTATATTTTATTCAGAGATAGGGTCTCACTGAGTTGCTTAGCGCCTTGCTTTTGCTGAGGCTGACTTTTAACTTGGATAGGTGTAGGCCACCAGGCCTGGCCCCCAAAACAAATTCTTAACACTAAACAAAATTGTTGGAGATGTTACATGAGTTATGGATAAAATAGGAAGAATGAAGTAGAAGGAAGGTGAGTTCATTTTGTCCTATATCAATACAGGAAGGCTCCTACAATTAACTCCTTTCTTTTTTTTTTTTTTGAGAATTTTTTAATATTTATTTTTTAGCACAACATCTTTGTTTGTATGTGGTGCTGAGGATCCAACCCGGGCCGCACGCATGCCAGGCGAGCGCGCTACCACTTGAGCCACATCCCCAGCCCCTAACTCCTTTCTTGATCATCAATTTTCCTCCTTTTATTTTTAGTCTGCAAACAAACATTTTATTTTCTAGATTTAAGAAATGAACAAACAAAAATTCAAAACCTTTTTGACCCCATTAAATTCTCCACTTACTGTCCGGTTTTTCTGTTCTCTTTGACATAAGTATGCTTCAAAGAATTACCTTGATCCATTAACTCATTTCCTGTTTCTCATTATTCTTTTTTTTTTGAAGTTTTGAGGGATTGGTTCTTTATTTCAAAAAGACACTTGTCAGTATTCAGTATCAAAACAGTTGCACTATTGTTTTTCTTTCTTCCAACTGGCCCCAAAGAGACCACAACAAAGGAGAATACATTTTAAGCTAATAAGCTGCAGGATGTACACCTAACAGACCTCAGGAAACTCACCTAAAAAAGTGGGGATTGGGCTGGGAAAGAAACTTTGAAAGATCAGCACACTGCCAGCCCAGACTGCAGGACTCTTACAGCCAGACGGGGTGGCCAGGTACCCCAACCCCAAAGATGCAGTTTCAAAATAATATAAAATTTAAAAAGTTGTGTACATAAGCTATTCAAGATTCTCCAGCACTGACTGATACAAAGCACAATGAGATGGCACTTTTAGATACAGCAGCTTCAGACCCAGAAAAGTCATTTAGCCATGAGTTCAAATGGCTAAATCAGTGGCCAAAACATAATTTATTTATTTTCTTTCTTTCTTTCTTTCTTTCTCTCTCTCTCTCTCTCTCTCTCTCTTTCTTTCTTTCAGCAGGCAGGAGAGCAAATAAGTGGTCACCACAAGATTAAGGGGGGCCTATGATCCATTCTGTGAACACTTGGGAAGTGGGTAGAGATGGGAGAAAAATTTAGTCTCAGGGCTAAGAATATGGCTCAGTGGTAGAGCATTTGCCGAACATGCACGAGGCCTTGGGTTCAGTCCCCAGCACCAGAAAAACAAAAAGTCTCAGAGTTCTCACCATGTTAATTTGGTCATTTCTGATGAAAAAAAGTAAAAAATAAGAATACAGTTGTCTAAAGATACCTTAAAGCTAAAACCAAAACAAAACCTGAATAGCAAGGTTTTTGTTTTTTTGGCTAATTCCTCTTGGAATCACCTTTTTGGTTTGGCTGGTACTTTGCACAGAGCAATGAGGTTTGCCATAATAGAGTCTTTCCCTGGGCTCTGTTTGGCTCTCAGGAAGGCAGGCCCATTCCTCTTTTCCTCCTCTATGGAGAGGGCAATAGGGATTAGGCTGGAAAGTTACCTTCCAAAAGTGAGAAGGGCATTAGATTGCTGCTTCAGAGCTATGAAATTATTTGGAATGTTTTACAAATGGTTAATGTAACAACAACAAAAAAGTAATTACAAAATGTGTACATCACAACATGCTTTTAAAGACACTTTGCGTTGTGCTCACATTCCCTTAAATGCTGTTCCCAAAGGTACAAGCCTCTAGCCAGCTTGAATCTCTGGGAAGAAGCAGAGACAGTTTGGTGAAAAAGACAAAGGGGTTGGGGTAGAGGGGGTGTTGAAAGGAAAAAGCAGCCTTCCTCTTAAAGATCAGCCCTCAGTTTTAAGGTCAGCTTTGGGCTGTCTGGCCTCAGGTGGAGTCAGGGTCAGAGGGAGGAGCAGCAGCAGGGTGGGACTGGGGAGCTCTACATCTCATTCAGGTCAAGCAGAGTCAGGTCCAGCATCCTTTGTGTATAGACGTGCTCCTCTTTGGTGCATTTCAGCTTATCTTCCAAATCATCAATTGTCTTTTCCAGTTTGGCTACCTATGTCTCGGCAAACTCAGTGCCGGGTCTCTGCCTCCTTTAGTTTATCAGTGAGAATCTTTATTTCTTCTTCATATTTGTCTTCTTTTTGAGAGTACTTTTCTTCAGCAGCATTCAGACACTTCAGGTTCTGGTCCATCTGTCTGATCTGCTCATCCATCTCTCAGCAACGGGACTCTGCCAGCTCAGCTCAGCTCAGCTTGTTCCTTTGTGCATTCCAAGTCTCCTTCAATAATCACTAACTTACAAGCCACCTCTTCATACTTTCTATCTGCTTCTTCTGCATTGTGCTTAGCTTCTTTGAGTTGGATTTTCTGGAGTTCCATCTTTTCTTCATCTTTTAGGGCCCAGTTTTCAATAACCTTCATACCTCTCTCTCATGAGCAGCTTTTTCTGCTTCCTTTAG